CCTGGAGGTATTTAAAAGACGGGTAGATGAGGCGCTTAGGGACATGGTTTAGTGGGCCTGGGTTGACGGTTGGACTCGATGATCTTGGAGGTCTCTTCCAACCTTAATGATTCTATGATTCTATGAAATGCGGTTGCAATTACAGCCAAACTGGCCACCACATCTGATTAAGCCCATTATGGGAAAAACCAAAAATAGCCCATCTAAATGAATAATCAAACCTACAAACTTTAGCAGCAGCCTATTAATTAATTTGTGACCCGGGTGATGTAAATGCTTAAATAGCAAATACTCCTTTTCCTTATCACTTCCTCATGCATTAAACCTGCCTCACAGCTTTGTGTGACAGCCTTGCAGCTGTGGGTTACGTGTGGGCAGATTTCTCTTCACGCTCAGCAGGAGTGCTGCCTCGTCATGCTGACACTCCACCACCTAATCCTGCTGCGGCAAAATGGCCAACCCGGGTGATGTAAATGCTTAAATAGCAAATACTCCTTTTCCTTATCACTTCCTCATGCATTAAACCTGCCTCACAGCTTTGTGTGACAGCCTTGCAGCTGTGGGTTACGTGTGGGCAGATTTCTCTTCACGCTCAGCAGGAGTGCTGCCTCGTCATGCTGACACTCCACCACCTAATCCTGCTGCGGCAAAATGGCCACCAGCTAGTGGCAGGGTGGGACAGGAGGACCCCAGCTGGCATCTCCTGCCTTCTCTGTTCTTCCAGGAAATTCCTCTCCCATTAGAAGATCACCTCGGTATCAGCAGCAGCTATGAAGCCCACCCTGCAACAGCTACTGCAGTAAACCACAGAAAACACATAATCGCTATTAGCCTTACCGCAAAGTCACGTCGGAAGTGCAGAATCCTCGACCCCCCCCAACCATGCCATACGGGAGAGACCCCTCCGCTGCTGCAGTGCTGTCCATCTCCGTAACATTAGCACTCGTCTTCCTTGGTCCTCTCCTGCCTCAGGCCCACCAGCCAGCTCGCTCCTAACTTGTAGTAAGATATGGTTACTACCAAAATATCACTAGAAGAATCCTGAGTAGAAAAACATGCAAGTTATGCCCTTTGTGGCCAAACGCCGCCTCCTGCAACGCCTGCTCTCATGCTCTGCCACCTCATGTACCCGTGCACTGGGGGAAGGCTGCCAGGCACCTAAATCTGGTGTGTGGTATTTGACGCTACAAGCGATTCATATACTGCAGCATCTGCCCAAGGAGCAAACTTACCCTCGGCCACCTGGGTTAGAAAAGCTGGATTTTGCCCCCAGCCGAGGCCTAGATGAGTTCTAAGGTGGGTTTCCACATGATCCAAGGGTGCTGAGAATTTTCATTGGGTGAGCAGGGATGGAGGAAGGAGCTTTTCAGATCCAGTCAATGACTGCGAGACAGTCTCCTTAAGCGTGGCCAAGGAAAGCAGCTTCGTGTGGGTTCCCTGAGCCCTTTGTTGTTCCAGCTTTCACCCCAGGGCTCTCTGCGAGGAAACGGGTACCTCCTCTTCCCCTTCTCTGGGATTTTGGCTCTCCAATGCCAAGAATGCCTTGTGAGGCACGGCTGAAAAGCCATGCTGCGTAGGTCCTGCACAGATTGGAGTCTCGCAGTAGTCTGGGACTGAGGGAGGAGAGGTAAGAGATGTAGGAATTTGAAGCCTGGAAGAGGACACTGAAAGAACCTGGATAAGCTCCCATAGCAGCAGCCTCTCCTGGCTGTGCTGTCACTCTGAGTACAAACACATTCTGCTGTCTCCACACCCCGATGGACAAAATGAAGAGGTCGGCCTTGAAAATGCTGGCTTTCTAACGCGATCGTGGCCAGGTGTTAGTGGCAGGTACACAGAGGCCTACTGAATTGGTGTATGGAGCTACCAAGTACAGCGACACGGGGAGAAGGAGTGTGCGTAATTGGACCAGATAACGCTAACCACTATGGTGCATAAAGAGGACTTGAATGGACTTGTTGGAGTGGGTCCAGAGCAGGGCCACAAAGATGATGAGGGGGCTGGAGCAGGTGGCAGTAGCTCAGGTGTCTAAAGTTGGGTCACCTGCATGCTCTCAAGGAGACTGTGACAAATGGGGGGAGAAGAGGACTCCAGCCCCGCTGTTCTCTCAACAGGAGCCTTGCATCAAACCAAAAGTCGGCCTAGCCTAGGGTCCCTTGCCTGTGGGTGAAGCCCAGGATGGCACGTAAGAGCAAGGCGGGCATGTGATAATTCCCTACGGAGGAAGCCCTCGCCAAAGCACTGGAGGGAAAAACCATTAAAACCCTCCGCCCCTCAACCCTCTTACGCCTTGTTGCCGTAGTAACTGCCATCTAAGCCAAGGCCTCAGAACTAACAACAGGCCCAGCCTGCCTTTCCTCTGAAAAGCCACGTGCCTACTGTTGTACCCCCCCAAAACTGCCTTGTCGGTACACTGATGAACGGCCTGTGTTTTGCTTCGGTGTCCTGTGAACAGTGGCCACAGCCGAACTCTTACGAATGCTTCAGGCAGCCTTTCAACACGCTGTTCAAGCAGTGGGGTGGTCACCACTTTGTTACTCCCAAGGCAGCAGAAGCCTCGCTCAGGGAGCTTCTTAACAGGAGGCTCAGCACCCAGATGTGGAGATACTTTGCAGCACCCCCAAGTGGTGATGGCCCATCAATTAGGGCCCATCAAGGGCCCGCTAATTAGGGAGGACCTTTGCTGGCCATGGCCCTGGGCTCCCCCAACCCCTCGGGGCCCCGCCGCTGGTCGGAGGAGCCCCGGTGCCTGGCTCCTGCCTGCCGACACCGTGAGCGTCCACAGTGGC